CGACGTGTTTTTCTGAGCTCGGCGATTTTTACAATGGAAGAATTGAAAAAGTCAAAGAATTTGTATTAAATTTTGCGTAAAAAATGAAATAAAGTGTTGCAAAGTGCAAAAATTCACCAGATATGGCTCCGTGTGACTTTTTCCTATTCCCAAAGTTGAAGAGACCCATGAAAGGACGGCGGTTTTCGTCGATTGAAGAAAATCGCCGAGAGTGCTCAAGGACATATCAAAAAGTGAATATCAAGGGTGCTTCGAAAATTGAAAAAAACGCTGGCATAAGTGTATTATATCTGGGGGGGACTACTTTGAAGGGGACCACATTAATGTAGACGAATAAATAAATATTTTTTTGAAAAAACGAAAATTACGAAAACTTTTTGAACAGACCTCGTATATATATATATATATATATATATATATATATATATGTGTGTGTGTGTGTGTGTGTGTGTGTATCTTAGTCTCAGGCAAAAACCAAATATTAATATTGTTTGATATCAAGCTACTCTAGTTGGGTATCGAACCCGAGTTATGTAGTTTGTAATCTACGTTCTTTCGAAGGAGATCAAATCGTTCATTTGAATACATTTTCTACTTATTCCTCCTCATATAATGGTGTTAACGGCGTTATACTTCATGAAAATAATTAAGTTATTTCATTATTCGCATTTAATTTACATGATGCTTTTGAGTCATTTGCAACAAGAACGTATTTATCATGATGAAATTCTTATTGCAGCGGGTGATAATATTAGAATAATGAGGGAATTATATATGCAAATTCTATTTAACAAGTACATCCAAGTTACGGGAGGTATATATTACATTTTTAGTTACAATTGTAATGCCACGACTGCTGACATAATAATTTCAAAATATATTATTTAAATATGAGTAAATAAAATGTTGCTAATTAGTAATCTGGAATTAAAGTGTTTTACTTTTTCGACTTAATCTTGTCAGGAATAACATCTTTTTGTTCTCTTGAAATTTGATATTAACACATACACACACATATAGCAATTCTTATTACCTTTATAGATAGCTTATAAAGGCTTGCATTATACCTGGAATATTCAATTCTAAATATATTGAATAATAGCTTTTTTCAGTTATTTAATATTGATAGATCATGGACATATATAGTAAATTGCCGCAAAACATCCAATAAATTTAATTCATAACTTTTAGTAAATATAAACAAGTATTGTATGATGGAAGGAATTATGTCTTTATTCTGTGCAAGAAAACTTAATGTATTTATTTAGATCATTTTTATTCGGGTAGGCGGGTACAAAATTCCAATTTGACTTTCACTAATTATACTGTCAAAGCCAAATTAACTATGTGAGTACACTTTTTTATTTTATTAATTATTTTTGTTGACCCCTTACTTAGAGCATTAGCCATACCCACAAAATCATTTTTTACATTCTATACTATCTGTATTATATTATATACTATATTTTAGATATCTCATGCTATCCAATATAGACTTATTCATTTTTCTTTTTCTTCTAACCCTTCCTCTTTTTCTTAACTTTTAATTTCACTCCATTTCAAACGAACAATCAAATGAAAATTCAATGTCAGTGCCAGGACTTGAACTGAGTGACCCTGGCATTTGAGTTGGGCACGTTACTGACTGAGCCATTCCCGTCGCATCACACCTAATGCGTATTAAATAAATAATAATTATGAATATAAATCAAATTACATATTTTTATTTTTAAACGAGTTTTCCTGAAAAATACCCGTGTTCATTTTTTACAAAGATCGCAGTGTATGTAAACTTGAACTTACATTTCATTAGAAATTTTTATCAGCAACATTGCAAAATTATTAATGTAGTCTATCTTTTGTAATATTGTTTATTTTATTTAATTTACTTTATTTACTATTTTTTATTTTTTATGCCTTGCCAGTGTTAAGGTTTAGTTGGTCCTCTTTACGCCAACTACATATAAGCTTATTTAAAGGTTACCAAAACAAATAACACTGAAAGAAAATACTTTTGTTATCAATTTTCAAACATTGGCATTTATCTCCTGATAGCAAAGTCGTATGAATCAAGGTGATGGCTGGTTATAAATCTTTTTTGCTCTACTTACAAATATTTTTGTTAGAAAATTTAACACGTTATAATTTTTTATATTGTATATCTTCCTATCAATCATTTGTATTTATTTATTATTTCATTACAACGAAAATTTACAAGACAAATCATCGAGTGATAGTCTAAAAATAGATAATATTAGTTGTGGATGACCTCTTTCTTATGCGTACTTTGCAGATTCTTAGAAATCGTTCATATAGAATTATTTATTTATTAGACAATCATAAAATACAATAATTTTCTATGAGAATTTGTGATGTGTTGATATCTAATGATGAAATACACTATACTTAGTAATTCATATCGACTAATATGAACGACTACTGCATCATGTTATATATTGTGGAACTCATTCCATTACCTAAGACATGCTCTAAAACCGTGTTTTGCAACGTATAATTAAAACTCTCGTCTCGGTCCATCGAGTATTACTGAATTAAAATACGCAATAAAATTCCGTAGCAATTTGCAATAATGAAATTTTATTTAACGCTTTCCACCCCTTCGACAATTTGGTCGAGTATCTTGGCCACGCCCGCTTATTTTCTGCTAGCCTTCATGTTAACCCTCTTTACTTAATTAATCCCAAGGGCGCGCTATTTCAAGAGGGACTGTCATTGCACAGGCTCTGGATATTTAAAATATTCTGTTTCAACACGTTCGGAAATAGGATGCGAATTCTCTAATTGGTCCATTACTTCATTGTCTAATCAACAGCAAATTTTAAAGGAAATTGACGACGTTCTTCAAGTCACTTTTTCCACCTGTGAAATTGGGATAAAATAGAAGATACTATTTTTCCTGAATGAGTCAAAATTTTACTAGGAAAATGTAAAAACACGAGCAACATATATCACTGCCAAATTAAGTCAGAAGGAGTTATAATCCATAATAACTATAAGCGTAATTTTGATTTAAATGGCGAATGGCAAACTTTTCTGAAATGTATAGGGTATGTGGGGCTCAAAACTTCAATTTCACATTTACTAATTCTACTGTGAAAACCAAACCAAGGACATTATGTTCACAAGATAGATTAAAAAGATGTTAGATATATAGAAGCTCGTGATCCACCGAGATGCTGCCGAATTCTATTAATTTATAATACACTTTGTTTATATTATCGAAGGACCAATTATAATTAGATAGTGACTATATCAGAGCAATTGAATTAGAAAGATGTTAAGTAGTTTTAATTGTTTTACAAATATTTAGATAAAATAATACGTTGATATAAAGTTGAATTATAATGTTTGTTTCCAGTTTGAATGCTGATTTTAGACTTCTTGCTTAAATAACGTTTGAGATATTACTGAAGATACGTAGTTGAAATTTATGTTAATACTTCTTACAAATGTTTTATAATCTCGTATTATTTTTCTGACAGGTTTGTTTTAAAGATTTAAGCGACATACCATTACATTTTTGTCCAATCAGTAATTGACCTGAGATTTGATTGAATTAGGGCTTATAATACCTGGATGCCGTGATCCCGAATACCGGGATTTCGGACGATTTTTGTCCGGTATTCATTACCGGTATTTCGGCATTACCAAAATTTTGTTAAAAATTTAACTTACGCAATACACATACACAGTTTCTGCTTCTATTTTATTTATTTATTGGACAATCAGTAAATACAATATTTTTTTATAAGTCTTTGTGATGTGTTGATATCTAATTATGATTTGATTATAACCTAAGTGCATTTATAATTAATTGGATATATCGTCGACGTTTTCTCAATTAGCTTTGCTCGATTATGATCCAGTCGATTTTTCATAATCAGTAGATAAGTACAGAAATGTTTATCAACACTTCTGTTAAAAATGTGTCTATTTTGAAAATTTAGAAACTTTTTGAAAGCAATTAGCTGTAAATGTGATCAGTTTTTGGTAAAGATCGGCAAAGCCGTTTCTCTCATTTTTTAAATAAGAATTTGCTTGAAGTTCATATTCTTGAAGAATATGCTGAAACCTCATAGATCTACAAAAAGTGGTTTAATTATAAATGTTCAAATATTTTTGTTTGGCTCTTCATTTTTGCAAAATTCTCATTTGCTATTTGATTCAATGTTTTACATCGAACTTCTTGATGTTATTTCCCATTGCATAAAAAATATTAATCGTAGAGTCAATTGCATAAATTTGTAAATATTATCGTAATAGAATTTCTATTTACAAATTTGCATAAATTTGTAATATTTACAAATTCATGCAATTGACTCTTAAATATAACTGCAAGTATATTAGTTTGACTTATTTAGTAGGGATGTAGGTAAGTGGCTAGAGCGACTGGATATAAATCTCGCTTCAAGCAGCCTGATGTCAAGCAGTAGTGACATAGGTTTTTACTTGAAAATATAAATAGAAATGTTTCATGAAAAATTACCAGATGGAGATATGACAACTGTTTGGGTTGCCATTTATAAAAAAACAAGCGTAATTTAATCATGGGATCTCAAGTTTCTATATAAATTAAAAAAAAACTTATTTAGCATTTTCAATCAATTTTTTATACAATGTGCTGCGATTTGAACTCGGAACCTCTTTGCCAGTCGGCTTGTTGCATATATACAACCATACCCGTCGTACAGAATTCTTAATATACATAAACTTCTATTGTAAAGCCTTCTATTTTTCTTTTGACTTTTGTAAATCAAAAAGTCAAAGGCATCTTTAATACGTAAGTAATATTAAAATGAAAGTTGCTATCAATACCGTATGTATAAGAATAATAATAATTTTACAAACATATTTACAATTTTTATTAACATCTTTACAAATAGTTATGTATTTCATTTTAAAGTATTGCACTGTAATGAAAGAAGCCTCTTTTTGACAAAATATGAAAAATTGACATCTTGAATATCGGTACAGCACAATTATTCTTTTTTTAATTTTTGAATCGAATCAATGTATCGAATACGTTCTAATAGCGACGGATGCGTAAAGTTCCACATTGAGTATAAAGGATCATCTAGTGGAAATGTAAAATGATTTTTCATAAATTTTAACAAACCACTTCTAAGTGCTTGACCATAATTCATATCGATAGCAAAGCTGTCGGCTTGAAGTTCCATTGCGCGTTCAAAATATTTTGATATCAAATTTTCTAAAAAGTAAAAAGGTATAAGAATATATCCTCTGATAATAAAAAATCCAACGATTGCAGACTGGAGATGTGGAGGAAATCCGAATGCTTTGTACATTGGAGTATAAGATATAGTAGAGCAAACTAATGTTAGAATTAATAAGATAGTTATTTGCTGATACGTGAAACCTTTCATCACATGTCGATGTTTCCAATGGCCGAATTCGTGGCACAAAACTGCTAGAATTTCATCATCCTCTAACACAGCTTTGTCATTTTCTTTTGCCAAGAGGTTGTCGAACAAAACTATGCGTTTGGTTCCAAAAGATCCAATAAAAAATGCATTTGCGCGGCTGGAGCGCCGGGAACCGTCCATTATAAATATTTCTGATAAAGGAAACCCTACGGTTTGCGCTAGATTTGCTATAGAGTCTTTAAGGGATCCATCTGGCATTGGTTGGAACTCATTGAACATTGGAAGAATAAAAGTAGGTAATATTCTCATTAGTATAATTACAAATAATAGTTGTATAAACCATAGCCATATGTGTATAAATTGACCTCCTTGATTTATAATGTACACTGCAGCTGCAGACATTGGTACCTCTACCAGTATTTGCAATATTGTGATTCTCAACAAATCAAGCATATGCAACGACAATGTTTGTCTATTAAACCCATATTTTTCCTCAAGTACAAAATCCCGATAAAGACCAAGAGGCATGTAGAATAATTTTGAAGAACAGATCTCTATCACGATGAAAAATGAACTGATAACTAATATTCCGCGTTGATTAAGTTTCAAAGCCATCTGGGTTGAGGTACACCATGTATTTAGCATAGACCTCTGGTACAATTTAGCCAGTTCAATAATACCTTGATATATAATCGAAAATGTCGAAAACGTTAATTTTTCTATTGAATAATTACGACATTTTGTGAAAACATCTTCATTCATAACATTTTTTAGTTCTTTGGGTACTATTCTAGTAGTTGTATATACCGTTATCTGAAAAGATAATTTTTAAATATTTTATTAACTTCTTGTAGAGTAAGTTGTAGTAATCGCAAAAAAATCGAAAATGAAAATTTTTATATATCTTTACGTTTCAAAGGTTTCTGAATATTTTGGCATACCCTAGAAAAAATGGATGTTTGTGTGTGTGTGTGTGCGCGGATACAAATTTTCGTCGACGATTTCGGGAACACCGATCAACCGATCTGAATAATTCAAAAAAGATTCGATACGTATTAATAAGGAGACGTGCTGATCAGTTTTTGGCAAAGGCAGGTCTAGCCGTTCCGAAGATACGGGGCAAAAAGTGCCAAAACGGTACTTCAGTTTTTAAGAGATCGGAGCGTCCGATTTTAAGAATTCAAAAAGCATTTTACTTGTATTGACAAGATGAAGAACTGATTTTTGGGGAGGCAGGTCCAGCGGTTATGTACTCTCAATAAAAATAAGTTAAAAAAATGTTATTTGGCGGTTAAAAATGTTATATATACATCATATCAAATTATCAGATATTTTATATAGATTTTAATAATATGTACACATTTAGTGTAAATTTTTTTGGGTTCCGCACCAAGATTTTTAATTACGGTACGGGAAGTTCCAGCAATTTGCCTTAATTTATATATAGATATTGTCAATTAGTATTAATTCAAGTTGGAACCTTTGAGCTCTTGATTAAATTGTTGGATTGTACTTAGATTATTTTATTTTCTTTATTTCAATAAGCCAAAAAGCCACACTATCGTATCCGCTTAATATATTCAAACTGATACTGAATCAAAAATTTAATATTTGATACATAAGATGCATTTCAAACTAAATGCATATTTAACTAGTTGAGTTATTTACATGTGTAATTAACATTTTCCAAGTCTTGGAAGTTCTTCAAAATTATTATATTATATAGATTATTGATAGCTCAAACCATTAATGTGTATGGCAGGTAGAGCCGTTCCGGAGATATGGGGCAAAAAGTGCCAAAAAATGCTATTTGGCGGTCTAAAACGAACATTAGGCATATGTACATCGTATTATCAAATATTTTATAAAGATTATGCTAATAAGTACAAATTTTGTTCACAGTTATATAAGTTCCGTACCAAGGCTTACACGTTAGACGACTACGCGACGCTAACGCGCTTTGACATTTTGACCTCAAATAAGCTATGCAGCGCAATTGCTTAAAGAAATGTTCAAAATTTTCAAAATAAATACAAAAGAAGATACAAAAAAATAAGAAAAATAAATTCAAAAATATCATTTCTCAAAAATCTAATTTTTTTCAAGATTTTGCATAATTAAGATTCGGTACGGGAAGTTCTAGCAATTTTAATTAAGGCACGATGCCATGCACCACTAGTTTGTTATATAGATTATTGATAGTTCCAGCCATTAATGTACTTGTAGTTACTTTCCTTTATGAGTATTATCTTACAATTCGTTTATTAATTTATTATAGTAGTGAGACTTATTTAAACTAATTGTCAGTTAAATTTTATGAAGAGAAAGTACTAATTTTGAGGTAATTTTCATCAGCAAGTTTTGATCATTTTAATCTACTGAGTAAAATCCTTGGAATTTTAGTACAAATTATACCCTATGGATTATTCTTACCTGTCTGTGATTGAGGTATAATTCCCATAATATAGCATGTAAGTAAAAGAATAGGACATATATAAAAACAAGTGCGGCTTCCAGCTCCATTTTTGAATTTTTTACATGATTTTATATTATTTGTGTAATTTTTACTGTAATTTTAATATTATTTACAAAATATTTGTCAAAATGCTTTTGTTTTGATGAAAAATAATAATTTGAATATTATAAAAGGTAAGAATTTATGTAATATTTAAAAGAATACAATAACAAATCCTTAAATTAGTAATTCATTTGACATCAGAAAAACTTTCTATATCTTCTTGTCGATGAACACACTAATAATAGTTAAATTGAAATCAATTATGATTTTTTACGAATATATGTTGATAGCTTTTGCATATATGCATAAGAATCTTGAACTGTGTTTATAACCAAAGAATAAAATATTTAGAAAATCTGCCTCACGATGATGTTTTATAATTTGGGAAGAATCACATGAACATAATAGGAAAAGTATAAAATTCAGATTCCCAGAAACCTCACCATTGGACATATTACCTACATCATTTCTATAAATAAGGGGCTGCAAATTAATAATTAATTAATATAATATAAATCAATAAAAATCAATAATGATAATTAAATATTCTAAATGATTGATAATATTACTTGCAAATGCAATAGAATGTTCAGTTTAAATTTATGGTTGCGTTTTATTCTGCCGATTTGGCATATTAGATAATTGATTCAAATCATATTTTTTTTGTAATATAATCTTTAAATTTAAGGGTTAACGTCTTTGGTTAATTTATATACAAAATGTGACAGAAAGTTATGATTATTTCAATACATTTTCAAGAGCACAATGTTAGTAAATGCCCGTAAAAATTATTAAAATATGTTAAAATGTTCTAGGCTCTCGAACATTTTGATATACCTTATAAGAAATACCTTATTAGAAAAGATTAATGTATGTGTGAGTGTGTTGTATGTATGTGTAGTAGATATTTATATATATTCGGATACAAATTTTGGTCGACGATTTCGAAAGCACGGATCAGTCGATTAAAATTAATCGAAGAACATTTTGCTTGTGTTGAGTGAGTCAAAATGATTTTGGTAAAGTCAGGTCTAGCCTTTTCGAAGATACATAGAAAAAAGTTCCAAAAACATTCAAACTTTGTAAAGCCTTCTTATATACATCAAACAAGCGGTTGGCGTAGATTAGATTACTGAAGTTATTTATTCCTCCAAACCTCCAATGTTAAATTACGGTAGGAAAATTTTCAAAAATATTAAGGCATAATGTTATGCAAAACTTGTTTCAGTTTAGTAGGGGACTGAGTGAAGTTGTTTCGGGGTACGGTAGTGACAGTCGCCATGACAGCTAAACAAAGATAAAGAATGTTTATTTGAAAAAGTTTCCATTATTGTATTGAGTCATTGTCCTACATTAACATGATTTATTCTCATTGCTTTCAAAGAATCAACATTAGTAGTTAATTAGTTTAGCAATTAGAGTTTTGCTTCGATTATCAGTCAAAACGATGATTTGTCTTCAAAAGTAAAAATTGAACAAATAAAGAAAAATTTTCTAAAAAGTTTCTAACTAATTGTAAATAAAATATGATAGAAAAGGAAAATCAATAAAAGAAAAAAATATTTCACAAAGATTTTTTGTTATATTGTTGAAAAAATTATATTGTGTTATGTATTGTTATATTATATTTATAAGCTTTGCTTAAACGATTGTGTTATATTGTGTTGCATATTTCTGATAACAAAAGATAATAAAACATTTTGGTGTGTCAACCGTCTTGGGGGTGTGGGCGTATGTGAAGATTTTATAGAAATAGTTTGTCATGAGGTAAATTTGACTGAAGCGCATGGTAATATTCTTTAAAAATATTTCTAAAAATATTATTAAAACCGTAGTGCATTGAAATTGCCTGTCTTGTAAAATGCGGCGCATCGCTGACTTTCAATTTGAAAACGTCTCGAATGCTGTTGACTTTAAAAATATGACATAACGACGATCGCAACGTTCTTTAAAATACACTAAAAAGTTTTGTCACTAGAAAACACAGACTGTGCACACTATTCGATTTCAGCTTGACATGCACCCTATTAAAACTTCACAGAAAGAAAAGAAAATAGCGCAGAATCTTTCGGAAACCTTCGAAATTCAATTTACGTCGCTCCTCTGTACAGTTTCCTGTGAGTCTTTGTGTGTGCGTAGCTACGTCATGTTCGGAATAAATTTTGAAACGAATTTCGCTCTTTTTTGTCATCGTCTCATCTAAAACAGCAAACAGAATACCAAACATGTCCTATGATTTCGGGGCCGATCCTAAATTACGTTGTTCGAAATCGAAGACTGAGAGTATTAAGATGCTGCGGAATTGTTTCTGAAGTCCATGTAGTTTCTTTCTTTTTAATGTTTTTCTTCTCTTGGTTTTACCTTTATTGTAATTGAATACAATAAACTCTTCACTACTTATTTTTTTGTTATTTACTGTTATTTTTTAACAGCATTCAGAACTTAAGAGTCCTATAAGCTTTTGTGCTGATTCGACTTAATACTAGTTACTTCTACATATGTCAACCCAAACAGTTGTCTTATCTCTATTATTACTGCAATTTCTGTAATGTGGCAGATATTTATTGATGCAGAAATGTCGGTTTAGTATTATTTTCTTTAGAAACATATTGCTATCTATATTTCCAAGTTCATTTCCAAAAACCGTTATCACTACTGCTTGACATCAAACTGCCTGAAGCGAGATCGAACCCGACCCGGGATTCAGGTCCAGTCGATCTAGCGTCTAGCCGACTACAAGCGAGCTGAATATCAGATATAACTTTTACGTAGTGTAAACGAAACCCTATTGAATATGTTTAGTAACTTATATCTATGTCCATAGTTCTGTTTCTGAACTAAGATTTTTTTTTAATTTCTTTTTCCTAAAATTTATTTCTTTCTCCAATTAATGAAAATTCAAGTGACTGATAAATTAACCTTTTATTCAATTTTCATATCAATTGTGAGTTTGCTTCAACTAATGACTCCACCAGTTTCAACTGGTTCAACTTTTCTTTAGAGCTGGGGCCAGGAAACCGGAGTAAATTACCCTAAGTTGGGTGAAAATTGAATTTTTGGGGATTATTTATTTCATTGTTTATATATTGACTTTGTA